CCCCCCCCCCCGTTTTACCTGCAGAAATGGGGTTGGGGAAACATATGCAGTTCTAGTTTTTTTAAACATCGGTTTTCCACCCTTTCTTTCCAAGTTAAGTACTCTTAGTTGAATTAAATGTGGGTCATGTAGAAAGTATCCATTTAATTTTCTTTTTTAAAAAAATAAGTTTCCATAAGTAGGTATAATTTATTTATTTTCTTCATTTATTCAGTTTAAATTATTCAGGGGCTGTGTTTGGGGCCTTAATTGGGCAAAGCATTAATGGCCAGGTGAAAATGAGAGAGAACTGCTGTGTTTATTGTGAGATCTGTTCCTGTTAGATTCTATTTTCTGGAACAGAGGAGTTATTTCTTTATTAAAACTATTGACCCAGATGAATTGCCCGAGATTCACTATTGCCTTGCAGGTGGATCCCTGGACTTGAGGCTTTTGGCAGCCAAGACCTTACGTCATCCTGGTCATGAAATTTTGAGTGAGGCCTTTAAAAGAACAAGAGTGAGTCAAGGATAAGGAGTGTGGCCTCAACAAACTCTGAGATGCATACCACCACTTTGATGATAATTGGTTATTTAAATAGTCATTATTCAGAGGTGATGAAGGATAATGATTTAAAAAGTCAAACCCCAAAGCTACCTTTTCTGATATGAACCTATTTTTTTTCCATTGCTTATATGTCCCCTGAGCCTCTCCCCGAAACCATCACTTATGGGGCAAAGATGGGATGTGGAATTAGGCAGATGTGAATTGATATTTTGCACAATTATGTGAATGTTGATAAGTTATTCAAACTTTGGGAGGTAGAAATCCGATCACAATAAAATCAGAAATAGCAACTGCTGTTGCAGGGATTAAAGGACCCATTAAATATATGACCCCCATTACTCAGTCTAGCCCTGAGAGAATGGGATCCATTGTCTGCTGGGTTGCTTGATGCAAACCTTGTATCTGGAGTGGCCCAGTGGAAGTGCACAGCACAGTGGTGTGCTATACAAACGGCATGGCTGGAAGCTCTTGGGATTGGAGTATTTTCAAGATAAATTTTCTTACTTTCATTTACTCTAACCCATGTCATTTTGTCTTTCCCTCACCCAAGCAAGCCAAAACATGGTTGTAATGGGCATTTCAGAGACTTGGAAAGTAGGTAAAGAAGGAGACATTTTTGTATTTATTAAACATTGACCATGAGCAGCATATTGAGCATCTCATATTCATTTTTCACTTCTTGTACTGACCTTATGCAGTGGATATAGTATTGCTTAATCAATTACTCTCAAACACAGTGACTTAATGGAACAGCTATTTATATTTCTCAACTGTCAGACTTGGCTGATCTTGCCTGAGCTTGCTCATGTCGACTTGTGGATCATTTGTGCTGACCAGGTTAGAGTGGCATTGGCTGGCTGGGACAGCTCTGCCCTGTGTTGGTCTCTGACTCTCCTGCAGGTTCAGCATGAGTTTCTTCTCTTGGAAATGGCAGGAGTCCAAGAAAGAGAAAAAAGTCATGCATGCTACTGTTCTGGCCAAAGCAAACCACACAGCCAAGCTCAAAGTTGGAGCAGGAGAGCACAATCACAGGAAACAGCTCCAGAGAGGCATGAGTAAACAGCTTGTTTAGAGGAAACACATCAACTGTGGACCAATAGCTGAGGAGCCCCCATGGTACTGGACTAGGCCCTGGATAATGGAGACAGTTGTTGAGCTTGAACCGTTTAGGGGGCCCCCAGGCAGTGGGACCAGTACCTGTCTCTAGTGCATGAGCCAGATTTTTGAAGCCTAGTATCTATGGTGGGACACTATGCACAGCCTTGGTGCAGGGAGGAGGGGCTTGGACCTGCCTCAACTGAATGTACCAGGCTCTGCTGACTCCCCAGGGGAGACTTTGCCTTGGAGGAGGTGGGAATGGGGGGTGGGTTGGGGGAGAAGGCTGGGGGGTGGGAGGAGGGAGGACAGGGGAATCTGTGGTTGATATGTAAAATGAATATAAAATCTCTTAATTAAAAAAAGGAGAAAAATAAATAAATAAATAAATAAATAAATAAATAAATAAATAAATAAATAAATAAATAAATAAATAAATAAAGTCCTGCAGCAGTGGATCTAGCCCTCCTTCATAAGGAGGTGAGATGGATGGCAGCTATGCTGTGCCTGTTTGTAAGCATCCCATCCCTACTTACTGTGTTTCTCTGTAGTGTTCTTTCCTGGCCATTTCCTGCTTGGGGATGTTTTGTAATTAGTTCTATGTTCTACTTCTTCTCATTGTTTGGTCTGAGTTTGAAACTTCATGTCAAATATTTGGGACCAGTTGATTTGTTAACAAGAGTCAGTATAAGGACCTTGAGGGATAGCGTTTAGTCAGTAAGGAGGTTCTTATTCAAGTAAACAAGGGGAGTAAATGCCAGCTGGATTGGATGGCGCACACATGAAAGAAAACTAGGCAAATTTACATTTCTCATTCACTGGCTTCTCTGACTCCATGGTCAGCATGCACTTCTGTAGGTCACTCTTTCTGGATTATGACTTTAAATCTGAGGAGGGCGAAGTCTTGATGCTGGCCTGACACTTGCTAGCTTGGGTAAGGGAGCGACCTAACTTTCCTAAGCCCCCATTTCCTCCTATAGGAAATGAGAAAAAACAAAAACAGAAACAAAAACCCCAGGTGTTGCTTTGTGGACTAAAGGGGGCTCTTCAGATGAAGAGCATCCCGTGCTCTGAGCTCCCCGCAGCTACCAGTGTTTGCAGCTGTTCACAAGCATCTCTTGTTACCTCAAATGTTGAAGTGTTAGCTTTCACCACCACAGGGCCCCAGGTGTGCAGCCAGGACCGCACAAGGAGGCTGGGCAGCAGAAGGCTCTTAATGCATTTTATGGCTTGGTTGTGTACTCTAAAGCACAGTTATTAATTATGAGATGCTGTTTAGTCACTGTTTCAATAGACACATTTAGCTAATTGATTTGTATAGGCTCACATCGAGCAACATAAAGAATGTGCAGGACCATAACACGTGGACTCTAACTGCTTCCACCCCCTTCATTGGCTTCTCAGAGAGGGACATGTCCTTCACTGCCCAAGCTAGTATTCACTCTGCTTAGTGCTCAGGATATGTCTTGAATGAATGATGAACGAAGGAATAATTTTGTTTGTTCCTGCGTTTTTCTATTTACTTCATTTCTCAACTACATATGACCCTTGAATTGTGAGAAAATTGCACCTCTGTGGAAATACAGCCAGTGATTTATTCTGAGCCATTAGTTGATTTTGCTGGGAAAGGTCTTGGTCCTTTGGAAGCCTGAGTGTGGTTGAGGGTGTGGAGAACAGTATGAACCCCACCTCCGGGGTGATGGTGTTCCCTGGCCTGAGATCTTAGAAGGCATGTCATCCAATGACATACTCTTAATAAGAGAGAGGCAGTGGCAATGTAAAGGTGGCAACTTCTGGGGGAGAAGTTTGAATGTGGTTCCCACTGCAGACTGAAGGTAATGCTTTTCTGAGTTAGCTAGTTCCAGACTCAAGCACTGGCTGAGATGGCGCAGAGCCCAGGCATGGCCACGCAGGTCCTAGGCGATCTCTGCCCTACACCTCCTAGAGGCACTAGCGCTTTGCAGCTCTAGTGAGCGCCTGGCGCCCTCCCCAGACCAGGCGGCATTAGAGCGTCCATCCCTAGACCTGAGCCAAAGGCTGGGCCCGCAGAGACAGCATCCTGTCCCCTCCGCGGGGAGGTCGGTTCAAAGGGCACATCAGGATAGGGTCGCCTGCATCTCTACAGAAGATCCTTAGGCCGGGAGGAGGACCACTTTGTGGAGCAGCTCAGGGTACCTCGAAGCGGCAGTTTGGAGAGCCGCAGGGGGGGCACGCCTGGCCCTAAGGCTCTCTGGAGCCTCCCTCTAGGGAGCCAGCGCCTGACAGAGGGGTTCACGCGAGTGCGCGGCATTGGGGATGGCTGTGGAAAGTTGGGGGCCGGAGCTGCGAGGCGGGGGAGCTCGCAACCCCGCGCCAATGTCCGCGTCTCATGAATATGCACGAGCCACCTCCCTCCCTCCGTGACGTCACGGGCCGTCCCGGGGTGAGCGCCGGAGCCGCTCCGGGTCCGCGCCAGTGAGTGCTGCTGTTGCCGGCGAGCGAGCGAGCAAGCGAACGGCGCGGCTGAGGGCAGCGGAGGCCGAGGGTGAGGGCGGCGGCGGCGGCGACAGTAGCGCACCCAGCAGCGACAGCGAGGCGGCC